TATTATTAATATTTAAAATTTAAAGAATTGTTTTATTTCATAATACTACGACAAAATTGAATTAAAGAGCATTTAATTATTAATTGTTTAATTAGTTTTTATTCGTTTCATATTTTTATATTTGCAATTACATATTTTGCATATATTATTTTCAGTTTATTATAGAGCATTGCAATTTTGACTTTTTAAAATTTAAAGAATTGTTTTATTTCATAATACTACGACAAAATTGAATTAAAGAGCATTTAATTATTAATTGTTTAATTAGTTTTTATTCGTTTCATATTTTTATATTTGCAATTACATATTTTGCATATATTATTTTCAGTTTATTATAGAGCATTGCAATTTTGACTTTTTTATTTTTATTTTACTTTCGTTTTGTATTTTTATGTGCTGCATTTTCATTTTTATTTTCAGTTGTGCGCAATGCCCGATTTATGTAATATATATATACTATATATTCAAGTATATTAGCAAGTATATAAGCGTGCACACTTGCGAATAAATCTCGCTCACGTGTAATGGAATTGAGACTCACCTGGTTGTCTTGATATCACCGCTGATCGATGAGTTCGGCGATGGCTTGCTGCTTAGGTCCAGCGGCGCATCGGCATTGTGTGGACTGTGCAGTGCATCCTTGAGTGTGGGACTGGGCACGGCAGAGGCAGCGGCAGCGGCAGCGGCGGCGGCGGCGGCAGCAGCGGCGGCTACTTCCGAGGTAGTTGGTGTTACGGAGTTGGCATGTTGTTGACTGGCCAGCGTGTTCATCAAATTGATGTCGGCCATCATTGTGAATTGGGCCAGCTTGGCGGCCATTGATTCCATTGATGTCATCTTGGCTGTTTGCTGCGTGAGCAGCTTATACAGTTCTATGGAGCTCGTGGGCGATGACGTTGTGGCAATGTTGTTGTTGATATTGTTGATATTGTTATTGTTGTTGTTGCGTGCTCTATGCTTGCTGTTGGTATTTGTGCTGCTGTTGTGCAGCGATACGCTCGAGTTGCTGTCGCTGTCGTGCTGCATGGGAAAGTTGCGTTAAGTAAACGATAATTTTATGTTGTCAGCTTAAAATAAGAACATTGCAGTGGGTGTGAGAGTGGGAGAGAGCTAACCTGATGCACAGCTGAGTTGTTGTTGCTGGTGATGTTGCTGCTGGCCGTTGATTCGGCCACCAATTCGCCTTTGGCGTTAACCGTTAGCAAGCGACCGTTAACACAGAAATTGCACTTATCAAACGGTGTCCAATCGTTGGGTTCTGGCGGTGGAGTCGGTGAGACGGAGCTACGTGATGTTGCACTTGAGTCGTGTTCCTCGTGTGATGTATCGTGGTTGTTGTCTGCAGTAAAATAATACTTGGTTTGTGTCTCGGCTAAGTAAGAGTCGACCATTTCTTTACATACCAAAATCGCCTTCAAATTGCAACAAACTGTGGTTGTTGTTGTTGCTGTTGCTGTTGCTGTTGTTGCTGATTGGCTGGCCGTTGGGCTGCTCTAAGCGTTGGCTCAGTGGCTTGCAGTGGGTCTCCTTGTATTCGCTGTTGTCGTCTGTCTCTTCGCTCGTTATTATTGATATGGGCTGTTGCTCTGCGATATTCAATTGGTTGCGCGTCAATTGCTCTTGATAATGTTTCCATTTCCTGCGACCCATGAATTCCTCAGCGACGCGTTCTAAGCCTGCAAGGACAGAGACGGAGAGAGAAAGAGAGGGAGAACATTTCGTTATTGTGGAACGTTCATAGAATATAAGTGGTGCCACCTGAGGCAGCTAAATTATGCATAAGCTGCATAGGTTATTATTCAGTTTCTTTTTTCTATTTCTTTATAATTTGCCTATTTTTCTATTTTTCTATTTGCCTATTTCAATTTGTTTTCTTTTTTTTTTTTTTTKTTTTTTTTTTTTTTTGCCGAAGCTTGGGAATTTGTGCAGACATAAATTACTTAATTGAATGGTAGGAAATGAAATGAAATAGCTGAGAGAATTGTTGGCCATGGCACACGCTGCGTATGCGTATCATTACGTATACGCCATGGCTGGCAAATTGATAGATTCGCACTCGTTGTTTGCATAGGCAAACTGCATTTCCTTGCATATCCTTGCCAATGCCGTCTAATTGCCACAAAAGTTATGCAATTTAATGCAAAATGCATAGCCCACTCGAAATGCCGGGCATGCGTGCAGCAAAAGCAAAAAAAAAAAAAAAACAACAAATTGTTGAAAAAAAAAAAACAAAATGAAAACTTTGCCGCTTTTATATGAGGCAAAAAGGTTACGCGTCAACTCACACGAAATGCGAATTAAATATCGAGGTAGGCAGGCTCAGTGGGAGCAAGAGAGAGGGAGAGAGAGAGAGCGAGGGGTGGAGAGCATGTGAGTGAGGCGAGCTGCAGCAGAGCTCAACAAATGCTGCAATTTTGGTGCCACATTTTGTAGCAGTTTTGTTGCAAGCATTTGCATTTACAAAACGTTGCAACGTTCACTCTGCTTCTTCTGCTTCTTCTTCTGCTCCTTCGTCTAACCATAGCCATATTTCGCCATATTGCTAAACCGGAAGTTGAGCGAAATTTGCTGCACCCCCTCCGACCCTCCCCGACGACAGCAGGTCAGTCATGTCCTTGTCGCTGGCGCGTCCTGATTGCGCAAAAGTGCGTGCCATGCGTGCGGTGCGTTGCGTTGCGTATGCTGCTCAAGTGGGCCACCGGCGCCGCAACAACTGCATTAGTAACAGCAACTACAACAGCAACAGCAACTGCAACAGCAACAGCAACAGCTACAGCGGCAACTGCTGCTGTGGCGCATAAGTAGAGCGGCGTGTTCAAACTTTTCAGCGTTCAAATTGTATTGCAACTGCAGTTTGTTGTTGTCCTCGAGGTTGTTGTCGTTGCATTTTTGAGGCGCTCAAATAAACAGGGTCGTCGTCGCCGTGCTACAGGGGTTGCTGCTGCTGTTGCTGCTACAACGTTGGCGTCGCACGCACCAAAAAATGGCGCAAAAAAAAAAAAAGAAAATCGAGGTGAATGCACGCGCGAGACTTACGAAACTCACAACTTTAAAGTGCAGCCAGCTCGAACGCACACACACACACATGCACACATGCACACACATTACGCACACTCGCACATGCAAGCGAAATTCCAAGGGTTGCTCGCTGCAGCGCGGTTGCATACAATGCGTTGCACGCACGCACAAAATGTCTGCCTACCCAAAGGCATGTGTGCGTGCGTGAGTGTGTGTGCGTGTGTGTGTGGTTAGGCGACACACATTGCGTATGCTGAGCCGGTATTTCAATGCTGCCAGCGTCTGCCAGAGTAGCGTTTACATTATGCCAAGCAAGCGCCTGAATGTATGCTAAATAGATTTTTTTTTTTGCTGCGTTCCTCTTTCCTTTTTTTTTCTGCTTTCTTGTAACCCTCTGCTGTAGACGTCGATAGGCGCACGCACACACGTGTGCACATACATGCAGACAGTGTCTATTCAAGGCAACTTGTCAGCTGGCCTGCCAGCCTGCCTGCCCGCCTCGCCTGACTATCTCTGTCTGTCAGTCTATCTGTCGCTTTGTTTGTTTGCTCGCGCTGTGGCTTGCAGTTTGCGGCTTGCGGGCGCCCTAAAACTAACAGCGCATCAAATACTACGAAAAAAAAAACAGGACGACAAATTGTAGAGAGGGAAAGTGCGTTGAATCAAAGTTGGGCGCAGTTTTAAATGCCTGTTTATGCTGTCCTTTAAGCACATCAGCAGCGACACGGGGCGTATGATTAATATGAAGTTTGTTAAGCTGAGACGTACAAGCAGTTCACAAAAAAAAAAAAAAAAAACAAAAAATGAAAAAGTGGAAGAAAATACCAATTAAACACGCAAACTCATTTAAAAAGCGGCACACACACATACACATATGGAAATGCCGTGTGCCATGAGAGACAGGCCGCCAACCCATGAAAACTGGCAAAAGAAATGCACGAAAAAAAATGCAATTATCGATTAATGTACACATTATATGGCTCATACTCGCATATGCACATGTATGCATATATACATGCGTACATGTGTGTGTGTGTCTTTGGTAGATAAACCCTTATGTATACGTAATTTATATGTACATATGTTTAATATACGCATACATAGGCGCTACCTTTCCGCATGGCCATATGCAAAAGTCATACGCAGGCCAACAGAGAGGGAGAGCGAGAGAGAGAGAGAAAGAGAGAGAAAGAGAAAAAAACAACATTTTTTGTTGTCTTTTTTTTCGTTTTATTTTTTTATTTTTTGTTAATGCACATCCTTTTTAATTTGAGGGCGGGGGCATGTCAGTTACGCGCGTTACATAAGCAAATTTCAGTAATGATATACATTATGTATGTATGTATGTGTATGGCATATCTATCGATACAAAATGGCTCGACTGTTTGCCCTATGTGTTGCATTGTTCTTGTGGCATGCAACGTGCTGCCGCCCGGCCCGCCTAGGCTGCCTCGGCTGCCTCGGCTGCCTGGGCCGCCTCCCGCAGGGGGCGCAGCGTCAACTTACAGCCATTGCTGACATGTCGACAGCGACAGCCTGACATTTTTTACGGCCTCTGCGTTGTTTTGGTTTTATTTTTGGTTGCATTTTTGCCTCATGATTTGTTCTCCCTCTCCCTCTCCCTCTATCTTTCTCTTTCTGCCTCTACTTCTATTTAGTTTTTGTGTTCTTCCATTTGTTCTAGTTTAGTTTGGTAATACGAGTGCGTGCCATAATGAAATGTCAAAAGGTGGCGCATATAGATTATTAGACCTGAGAGACGTTCATATATACATAAATATGTATGTATGTGTTTACGTCGTCCACGACGCGTCGTCTGAGCCGTGTGCCACGAGGCGTATGCTTAATATGGCTGATAGACTCACGCTAGAAGAGCGCGCAATTCTACGCACGTGCGTTCATATGACATAACATAGAGACAAAACAGTACAAAATATATAAATTAAATATGAGAAACGAATTTGCAAGAAATTTGTATGTATTCCATAAACATTTTGTGAATTTAGTCCAAGCATTTGGCTTACGAATTGCTCAGTAATATGAGATCAATTTGGGGAAACACTTGTAGATTTTATTTTAAACCACATTTTGTAAAGATATGTATGTACTTATATGAAGAACTGTTTATAAAATTACTCTTAACTGATTTTGATTGATATAAACATAATTTTCAAAAATTTTTTTTTTTTAATTTTTAA